CGCATGTGCGGCCCTGCCCCCACCCAGTGCATGGGGGAGGGCGCGCAGAGCTGGCGGCAGCAGGACGCATGTGCCCGGCCCGGCCCGGCCTAGCCCGCCACCTGGGGTGGGCCGAGCCTGGCCGTGCAGGGCCCCACGGCCGCAGGGGGAAGGGTGCTGCTGGCCGGCACTGTGGGGGTTAACGTGGCCCCCACCCCGGGCGGCCGCTGCAGGGTGGCTGCTGGGAGCTGCTGCAGCCCGCAATCCAGGAGCTGGGCACGTGCAGCACCCCTTATAACTGCCATCAGGCGCCCCTCTTAGGTTGGCGCCCCGGACAGCTGCCTGGCTAGTCCATGCCTTAATCCGGCCCTGGATTTGTGATATGCTGATGGCAGAATACCTGGCCGCTTCTCCAGTGCTGGAAATTATATTTTCAACCAGGAAATATGTAATGCATCAGAAAGATTAATGTATTGACTTAAGTGAGGGACAAGTCTCCATTTACCATTCCTCTGTCTCTTTCCTGGCTGCTGGTAGGAATGGAAGAAGTGACTGCTCCTTTATCTCTTCCTTAAACTCATTTGAAGTTTTTTGGGTTATATTCCCAGAGGAAAAAATCCAGTGCCATTTCTACTGCTGCCCACAGTTTTCCCAAGCAGCAGCACTGTGCAGTTGTGTGTTTTAGTTTCCATGCTGCTGACAGATTTAGAGTGGCAGCAATTAATTTCTCTCTACTGCTGTTTGATCCAGCTATGAGCAATAGCAAAAAGCACAGGGGCTGCTGTTGGAAGACAACACTTCACTGATTTATGTTCAGATCACAGTTGGAAGGTTATTGTTAGAACCATAAGGATTAGAAACTTATTTTGTCATTAAAAACATAGATTTATAGGAATTTATTAAGTATGTTCCCTCATTCCCTTTGGCCAAATTCCTGCTTCTTTGGAGTATGTGGATTTTTTAAAAAATATCAGTCAGGGCCCTATTTCTTCCTCTTCAGTACTGGTGGCTCAATAAATTACTGAAAGAAAGGTTAAAAACCCAAACAAGAAAATGAATATGATTCTCAGGGTTTTTTTGAATGCAGAGACTTTGGGGGCAGAAATACAGAAAAAAAAGAGTCTATTGCTTTCATGACTCCAAAAGTTTAGTCACACAAGTGCTTGCGATATTGTGAAAAAAGAATTCTCCACTCAAATTTCTTGTTAACCTAGTTGAAAAGCAGCACCCGTCCTAACTGCAAAATATACAGGATTATAGAGTATGAGCATAATTCTGCCAAGTGCTGAGCACCACATTTCATCATTTTAAGCAATGGGAGTAGGGGGCAATTGGTACAAGCTAGGATCTGGTTCTAAATGTCTAAAATCAGTACAGTGAAAACTTAATATTGGGTAGAAACAACTCATCTTAATTTGGACTGTTCTCCCATTCAATATTGCTACTTTTATTTTGTAAATTGGAGTGTGTCCTTACGGCCATGTGTTTGCAATTCTTTTGCCTTCTTGCCATGTATAAAAATGTTTGCTCTGATCCTGAAAAGAGTGACCCTCCAAGGCAGAGAACAGTAACACAAATGGTTATAGGTTGGTCTTAATATATCCATTTATGTAAAGGGGCAATCTAAAACAAGTGGCTTCCCCCTCCCTCATACAAAGCGAGAATTCCTGACGCCGTTGCTAATTATTTTATATAATGAATGACAGACCAAATCATTTAAGACCTCTGAAATTTGAGGGGCACATTCTCTGTACAACACAGGCTCTATGGCACTGCATAAGCAGGACAAAGTCATCTTAAATCAGTTTGTAATAGCAGGAGAATTCCCCTCACACAGGAGGCCTCCCCCCTAGTTCTTCTGCCTCCTGTCCTCACCCACTATGATGTATGAGGAGGCAGGTGTGCGTGGGAGGAGGAGTGGTGGAGCAGAGTTCCACTGTATTTGATCTTTCGCTCGCTTATGGACCATTAAGAGTCAGTGCTGTAAATACGAATGAGTTCCCGGCTGCTCTTGCCTTTTCTGGGGCCGGCAGACAGATCAAGAAGCTGTGACTAACTCTGTGTGTGCAGCCTGGGCATAGGGAGAATGAGGGCCTAAACCTAAATACCTGAGAATTTATTTACTAGGTCCCTTGGGAACTGCTACTTTAAACGGTGCCTTACTAATGTAAGATCTTGGTAACTTTCTCAAAATCCAGCCTCCAAAGTGGCACATCTGTTGACCTGGGGCTGGCCACAAACTCTCAAACACCCTCATTTGGTCTATCTCCATTCATTATGCTGTCAGTTTAGACCTGCTTCCCAGTCTGATCCCCATCTTCCCAGGCAGCTCCCATCTGATTCAGCTAACAGGCAGTTTCAGTTTCTAGTTCATCTCTTTATGTCTGGGGCTCGCCCCTCTGATGTGTTAGGCACAAAAAGCCAGCAGCAGTCCACCTTGGAGCACAGCCCCAGTAGCTGCCTTCTATTGTTTTTATGATTGTTGTTATTTTTATGTGCCCTGTAGTGGTATGCTGGCTCCCCACACAGGTTTGGGGCCCTGCTGGTCTGAGGGCACCTCCACACGGCAGCTGGCAGGTCTAAACCTCAGCCTGAGTAGACTTACATATGCTAGTGCCTACAATACCAGTGTGACTGTGGCCGCACAAGGGATGACTCAGGCTAGCTGCCCATATATACACCCAGGGGATTAGGTTCTTTCAGATGGGCAGCTAGCCAAAGCTCCCCACCCATGCCGCCATGTTGACACTGCAATTTTTAGTGCACTAGCTCAAGCAGAACCAGTGCATGTCTGTCTACTGACCTGATAATTGCACCTCCCACTGCTATGCAGCCATACCCTGAACGCACAAAGTGACAGCCCCTGCCTTGACAAGCTTACAGTCTAGTTTAAGATAAACCATATGAAAGAGTCTCAGAGGGTAGCCATGTTAATCTGTAACTTTAAAAACAACAAGTAGCCCCATGGCACCTTAGAGACTAACCGAAATATATAGGATCATGAGCTTTCATGTTGGAGTGGAAATAACAGAATCTAAGATCTATGTAACAGTGAAAGAAGTACCTGCCAACTGTAGGACCCGTGTTAGTGAAACTAATTACGTGGGCTGGATATGTCCCAGTCATAGTTTTTGATGTGAAAATGCATATCTCAAAGGCAGGGGAAATTGGCTTTGTAGTGTGTTATCTAGTTACCATCTTTATTCAAGCCCAGGGTAACAGTGTCAAATTTGTAGATTAATTTCAGTTCAAAGCGGATCAACAGTGGAAAGGATAATATTTACAGATCATTCCTTTTTCAGTTATATTGATTAGTTTTGGTAACAATTCATCTTTTTAAAAAATGCCCAATACAGGGAAGATTTTTAAAAAGATGTATTTATAAACCTTTGCATTAGGAATAACAATACTGCCTTCTAAAATCTAGGGCAACCACTTCAATGCCACACATTAACAGGTAGACATTCTGTTCAGTTTCTCCTTTTCCCCTATAGGTGGCACTAGTGTCTTCTCTCGCAGAAGCTGTTCAGTGGGTTTTATACAGCAATGGTTTTCAGCCTGTGGTCTGCAGACCCATAGAGGTCCGCAGACTATGTTCAATGGGTCTGTGAGCAGTTGTCAATACCACAGAACACCAGCTTTCAGTCGGCCTAATGACCACTGGGGTCCACAGGTGTCTAGGATTTCCAAAGGGTCTTTACCTCCATTTGAAATATTTAGGGGTCTGCAAATGAAAAAAGGTTGAGAACCCCTGCTATGCAAATCTTTTATGTATGTTAGAAACAATACAAAACTAATCCTCAACCTAAACTTTTCATGTTTAGATAAAAACCATATTTTGTTTGGGTACTGCAAACTCTTTGCACAACCAAAGCCTCATTGTGTGTGTGTGTGTGTGTGTGTGTGTGTGTGTGAGAGAGAGAGAGAGAGAGAGAGAGTGTGTGTGTGTGAGAGAGAGCGAGCTGTATTGAGTTCAACATATTTTGTAGTTGTGTTTTGTTTGGTTTTAATAATTCTTCCAGGGTCATATGGAAAATATTGTAATTTTCCATTGTCTCCACAAAGAGACTCTCCTGGAAATCATTGTATGAAATTATCCTTATGCAGAGACCGTCTTAAAGAAACACATTCTGAATTCCATTAATTCTAAATTGTTTGAATAACATTTTTGTTCTACTTGTCTTATATTCAACTTGAATTTTAAATGTATATGTTAAAGTATATGTTTTACGTTAAAGTATATGTTAACTTTTGAATTTTGTTCTGTGTTGTCTTAAATACTTTACAAACTTTTATAAAACTAAAATCTAATGTTTTATTATTATAAAAGATCCAACTAATGCAACTACTGTACTTAGTAGTATTCGTGTTAATTTCAGATGTCCGATGTATGGTAAATCATATGGATAAGAAAAAAAGTGTCATTCTCCCACTAATAGAGAGAGACACACACCCATATTTGATTCTCACATAGTAAATATGTTCTGTTTTAAATTCCACCTACAGTAAATAAGTTACTAAAGTACACACCTATGTAAAATAGAATTTATATCATGCCTACAAAAAGAGTTGAAAAGGAATACAGTGTAAATAGATATTTCTGATTGATAGGATATTGAAACATTTACCTGGAACTATCAAACATCATGTTATAAGCATATCAGATTACACAGAACAAAACAGAGAAAATATAAATATTTCTGTTTCTTGCATTTATTTTTTCCTACCAAAGACTTTGAGTTAAAAAGTGAAACTTGCTATATTTACTTTTATCAAATAATATTTTGTTCATGCAAAGAACTAGTTGCTGACTTGCCTCTGTAGATTTATGTTATCAGTAGACACTAAAACAGCAGTTTTTAAAATTGTAGTTTATTTTTTATGGTTTTGTCACATTTCTAGTGTAACCTTTTTAAGGGTATTAGCTGCTATGAAAAGTCAGAAGTAGGGACTAGGCAGAGAAGAGCTACATTTGATTTTAATATAGTTGTTTTCATGCCACTTTCTCTTTTCCTTTACAGGATACATACCCAGTTACTTAGACAAGGACGAGCTATGTGTAGTATGTGGTGACAAAGCAACCGGGTATCATTATCGCTGCATCACTTGTGAAGGATGCAAGGTAAATAGCCAGGGCGGGAAGCTGGGACCTAGAAATGGTGCTCGAGTTCATGCTCCACTGTCATAAAAGCAACTGTACTTGGCTGTCATATAAAACATAAAAGCACATTAGGAGAGAACAGAAACCTCTGTTAAGCACAATACTCAGTGTGTCTGGTTGTGTAACTGATACTTATATGCATCGGGTATGGGTATAAGGTGTATTTTTGCAGATGGCTTACAATTAAAAAGAGGACACTACCATAGTATGTTTCTAACTTAACTTTTAGGAGTTTGTTTTGTATTTTTAAAAATCTCTTTGACTAGGTTCTTACATGTTGCAAAACAATATACTTCCATTGACTTCTGTGAAGTTGTGCTATTTCACGCCAGGAAAGAACCTCACTGGGTGGCATGAATTATTTTTTAAAATTGCCAGTATTCCTATGTCTCTCTTAATTATTGTAAAAAAGAAAAGCTAACAAACACACAAAAGCCCCACGCAGGTACATGTAAATACAACACAAAGTATTTTAGAATCTATTGCCACTAAACATGATGCTTTTTTCTTTTCCTATTTTACCTTTTATAGCACGACTAATCAAATATAGTTTAAACCATGAGCTATATTTATAAAATTATATGAACAATTGTTTGTTAGTTTTAAATAAAGACAGAGATTGTTTCAGGCAAACAAATGGGGAAAAACAGCATGATTCAGACATGTCCTTTTAAAAGAACTCCTTCACTGCAGTGAATTCAATGAAAGAGCACTAGATCCTGTAACCAAGATATTCCCTTCCTGCAGAAAAGGAATCATTTTAAGAAGACAAGACTACACGGTACATACTCTCGTGTCATACAAAGAGATAGGTACTTCCCATGTTCTCCCCAAAACATGTAGAGTATTTGGATCTAAACTTTAGAGTCCCATGTTTATCAAGAGGTGAATGGATAGATAAATAGATGGATAGATGTACATTTTTATTCACTTTTTGGATTTTAACACCATTCACATTGGTAATTACCTGACTAAGAAGAGTATGTGTGTTAATTTCCACAAACCAACATCAGCTGCTCGTACGGAGGGCAAGGTCTGTCTATTCAACATTATCACACATGTTGTGGTGTTAACTAACTTGTAGTAAAGTTATATGGAGACAAGTCCGCTTTTAGTGTTCACACAAGTTAACAAGCTGAGTTAAAGAGTAGGCTTCCCCCTAACTTTAACTCAACCTGCTCTCTCCTGTGAATGCTACAAACTGCCTTGACTTCCCTAGGGTTTTACTTGAGTTAGCTATCTTGAGTTAAGAACACACCTTTTCCCTTGTGTCTTTAAACTCAAAAGACTACTCGTGGGATAAAATCCTGGCTCTTCTGATTTTCAATCCACTGTACCTGAAGTTAAACTTGTGTGCAGGTTTTTGCAGGGTCAGAGCCTAAAACTATATATTCCCAGCAGTAAAAGAGCCACAACAAAGCTACAGGCAGCAGAGCTGACAGCCTCGCCAGGTTCCTCAGCAAGACCAGGAGCTCTGCTCTGCGTCCCCAGAAAGAGTGGGGCCTTTACGAGAAGAGGTGGGTCTGGAACTAGGCAAACCTCTACACTGCTCGGAGAGTGCCACACCTCCACAGGTAGCCCTCAGTGCTTTTCAGAGCATACAGTGCGGTGCTCCAACAGCAATGTAAAGGGCCGACAGCTCCAGGTGCTGCCACTGGCTTCATAGCAACAGTGGTGGCCAGGAGTAACAGGCCCTTTAGTATCGCTGTGGCCCATTTTCCCCTTTGTTCCCCCACTCCTGATGGCAGAGGCCCTAGCCACAGTTGACCTGGTCAGCAGTGTAAACTTGGGTTTAGAAGTCTTGGGCTGCATGGCTAAAAATTGCAGTGTAGACATTTGGAACCATAGTTATCTTACTTTGCTCCCATCTTGATTTCCTCCACTGTAGTTGCACACCCTTCTAGGACCTGATCCTGCTGTGTCTCAAATCAATAACAAAGCTTCTGTTGACAGCAGATGCAGGTCCTTAACTTTCAGAGAGAAGGCTGTATCTGATTTCTCTAGAAATCAGATCCTTAGCTAATTGACATCAATTTATGCCAGCTGGCCCCAAATTCATACTGCAATTGGTGGTGATAATCTTTGTCCTGATGTGTAGCATAGGTAAGTGTGTACTCATTTCTTCAGCTTTATAGGCCACTTGAATTTTGTGGGTTCAATATTTAAACTTGAGCTCAAAACTTCTGATGGGCACGTTTTGTTTGGTTCTGGCAAAATGCTACTGCCACATCTGTTTTGTGTTTAATTTGTGTTTAACCTTAATTACTTTCATGCAAGCATCTTGCACACAAGCAGATGTTTCCCTTTAGTCATAAATACAGTAATTCCTCATTTAACACTATAGATGAGTTTCTCAAAATGTTCTTGCTAAGCGAAAACATGCTATGCGGGGTCAATTTTCCCATTAAAAATAATGGAAAAGGTGGGGGTTGCGTTTCAAGCTATGGTATCTGTTGGGACCGGGACATAAGGTTGGGAGAGAAAGGGGACTGGGTTACAGCAGGGAGGGGAAGTGTTTGGCTCTGGGGAAGGGAAGGGGAGGAGACAGGAGAGGGATTGGGTTGGCAGTATACCCCTGTGACTGTCGGGACCCGCACTGCATCCGGCGAGGGAGGGGTCGTTGGGGAACGATGTGGCGAGCGACAAACCTTCTGCCGCTTTGCAGGGAGGTGGGGAAAAGCCCCGCGCAGCCACCAGCGATGGTCCAGCTGGGGAAACCCAGCCACTGGCCTGCAAGCAGGGATGGAGGAAAGGGGGCAAAGCATCTGGAGAGGGGGAGTCAGCGGGGAACGGTGCGGCGAGTGGCGAACCCTCCACCACTTTGCAGGGAGGTGGGGGAAGCCCCACACAGCCACCAATGGCCAGCTGGGGAAATGGTGTTATTCCGGGGACAGTCGTGTAATTCAAAAAACGTTCCCCAAAAAAATCGTGCTATTGTGAAAACGTGTTAAGTGGGCATGTGTTAAATGAGGAATTACTGTAAATGTTTTAACTAAATAACCCTTGAAAACAATAGTTTCGTTTAGAGATGGTCCTGAATCAAACTCCCAGATTCAAATGCTCTTGGGCTTTGGGAGTTCTGAATCGCAACATGGCTGTAGATCAGAATTCCTTACTTATCCTATGTGTCTGCAGAAGGACTCATCGAAAACACTAGCTCTGAACATGCTTTGTCAGTGCTTCAGAATCTGAGTTTAGATGTAAATACTACAATTGGTACTACTCTATTAATAAGAGGCAAAGCTAGCAGCCTACATCTGAATAGTACTCCATTTGCATTTGGATCTGAATTTTACATCTCAGGTCTCTCTCTCTAGTTTTAATACTAGGGAGAAATGTTCCATGAAACTCAAGAGAGTAAGGAACTTATACTAGAAGGCTGATGTACTAAAACTTTGTGACACAAAATATTCCATCTTGGATACATATTTACATCAATACCAAGTTCAAGTACCTTGGAGTGCCAAAAAATACAGAACATTAATGCCTTCTGAATTTTGTTTCCCACTTAGGGATTTTTTAGAAGAACCATTCAGAAGAATCTCCATCCAACCTATTCCTGTAAATATGAAGGAAAATGTGTAATAGATAAAGTAACAAGAAACCAGTGTCAAGAATGTCGCTTCAAAAAATGTATCTATGTTGGCATGGCAACAGATTGTAAGTAGATTTCTTTTTTTCTTTTAATTTTGCTGTTCATTTAAAATGTGTTGATTTGTAAAGATTGCTTGAACAGAACAGAGCCACCAACAGTTTTTCCCTTTTACAGTGTAGTGACTGGAAAATATATTTGTTATTTTCCCAAACTATTTCTGTCATAGGGCAGTAATACTTTGTTTACTTTTAACAGCTTGGGCCTTTCCTGGGCCTTAGCCATGTTGTGTAAGGATATTTTCTAGTGTGGGAGAGGGAATCCATTTGGATAGATGCCTTGCAGGAAAAACATCATGTTTAGAAATTTCTGGAGAATGTGAAGTTGAATTTCTGTGTGTGAGTCATCCTGCAGTTGTTTGTTTTATTTTTAGCCATAAAGACTGTATGTACCGAGAGAGAGTGCTACTCGAATTCTGGAGAACCAGGACATATGGCTGCAAGATTAACCCTTCAGGGGCTTTTTTTTCTATCATTGCACAGGGGATTTACACCATAACATCCATTAGTATAAATGGGAGTAACTTACATGAATCTCACTGTGTATTAGTTCATGATTGTTATTAGTTCAATCTCCTGCAGAAAAACAAAGCAAGAAAAAAAAACCCTTAAGGAGAATTTATAGAACTAAAATGTTCTAAGTTTGTTTGTACTAATAGGAATTATTATGTTTTGTATATATATAGAAGCGGAGACACGTTGACTTTTCGTGTCATTTCGTCATTCCCAGTAAAAATAGAATGAGAGGAGATTGGGTGGCTCTAAGCCACCAGTTCACATCCAGCCCAGACTAGCAGAGACCAAAAGTGATGTTTTGGTCTGTTTAGTGGCTATCGAAAATGAGATAGTAATTACATTT